GTTTGTACACATTGCAAATTTCTTTACCTCTGAGATGACCTGAAGAGTTCTGGTAGAGATCTTTCTTTCGTCAAAACAGGGTTAGTGTTCAACTGAGTGATGATATCTTTTAATATATTAGAGGATCTTCCATTCCTCTTCTGTCTGTCTTGTGTAAGTGCAGAATGATTTCTGCATCTCCCTTTTCTTGTCGCCTCTCTCAGCAGACAAAATGTTTACTTGGGGAATATTCTGCTTCTCGTCACTGTTGCGCCACACATCATGATAGGATGAAAGCCAAAGCTTTCATTAAGACTTTAAAAGGATGCCAAACCTAATTTCTTTTATTTTTAAATTTACAACAGCATGCATTAGGACTATTTATCTTAAACGACTCCAGGAGACATTCCTCATCACCGGCAAGCAGACAGTAAAGTTCAAGAGGGCACAATGCTTCCTTCTCCCCCTACCTTTTACCATAACGTCTCACTTTCCTTTGTGCCCCACACCAACAACAGTTGTGATGGTGATCCTAATCACTATTGACACACGGCACCCTCCCTATGTGTGGCTTTCTCTGCCCCCTGGATCAGCAACAGGGCCCCCACCATATTTCGATGTGGGCCTCGAAGGAAATGTGATCCAGAGGGATGCTGGGGCACAGAGGCTCTATTGTTTTAAAGCTGTCGACCCAGCCTTACTATATGTCTTGCATAGCCGTCTGTTACTTTAAGCCGCCGGCTGAAGTTGTTTTAAAGTGCATGCAGAAGGTTGGGTTACCTTTCTTCAACCGGAGGGGTTAAACTAGAATGAGCTCAGAGAGCAACAGTAACTGCAGGGAAGAAGGTCTAATCTTTGAAAGCAGCAATACTTCCCTAACCTATGTCATCCCCTAATGGATCACTCATAACTGTTTTAATTCTTTGTTCCTACCTACCTCCTAAATCTTTTTTTTAACAAGCATGGCATAAATAAAACCTTGTTAGCCAGGGTTCTGTAAGGTTGTTATTTGTACACATTTCTTTGTTTCTTATTCTATCTTCATTAAGGCTTAAATTTAGAAATGACTGGTGTGATCTCAGAGCTGATAGACATGTTGACAAGCTTGAAATAAGTTCATGTGAGCTGACTAGTGACAAGTTAAAACATGCAATGCGTAAGCAGTTAGCTTTCAAACTACTGTAACTTTGGTCAGAAACTTCGATCTGTTGGGAAAGTGAGGTTTGTGCTTTTTTTAAGGAGTTGGTTTATCTAATGCTGCTGTTCATTTCCCCAAAATCTTAGATTAATCTCACGCCCAGAAATTTGAGCTCCTGTGCTTCATAACCAAGCGAGCCATAAAAATGGTATTTGTTACTAATGTATTTATCCATCTATTCACATAGACTATCAACATTTTACTTATGACTAAGCCTGTGATTAGCTTATTTTAATGACGTACAAACTGCAAACAAGTGCAAACAAAGCCTAGTATGGGCTGTTTGTAATGTCCTAAGTATAGTGAAAATTTTGTTCCATTGTTGTTGCATTAAAAAACACATTTTGTAAATACATTTTTTATCTAAAAAAACTTTTTACTGTTTTCTCATACTTGATTTTATCCAATCAAAAAATCCAATATGTTTTTCATATTCATTTTTATTTTTAAAGTTTTTGTTTTTTATTTTGTTCCAATTGAAATTACAGATTTAATACTCTATATAATAATTTCTGATTCAAGATTCATTTTTTTTTTACTTTTTTCACAGATTTGTATTTATTTACTTATTCAGATTGAGTTTTACCAATTTCATCCTTTTCAAATTGCCATTTGAACAACAAAAACTATAAAAATGTAGCTCACATACAGTACATGCCGGCCAATAGAAATTTGTCTTGGCTGCTCACTCCAAAGGAAAGCTCGACCCACAAAGTGAAGAGAATGTGATCCGAAAAACGCAAATTGAAAAAATAAAAAATAATAACAATTTGAACTAAATACACATAAAGATAAAAGGAAAAAACATTATGGAAAAAATAAAATGTTATTTAAGGTTTTTTGTCATTGCAATTTCTTTAATTTTTCTTAAACAAAACAAATTATTTTCTTACAACAGTGAATCAACAAACTTCAGTCTGTATACCAATGCACAGTAAAAATGTCCATCATAAGTTTCCAAGGAATAACATAACCAAGAAAGTTTTCCACTTTTGGCTTGTTATGGCAGTTTGTTGAGTCACAGTTGATAACTCTTCAGCCAAATTTCTAATGGCTGTCCTAGACAATACTAGAAGTTGCTGGATGACTTTAAAAATCGGTCATGATTCGGTCCAAGCTGCAGAAGAGCGGAATTTAATTCAGTTCAAAAAAACTTTATTAATCCCAAAGGGAAATTAAATGTTGCAGTAACTCATTGGTTTTTTTTTTCTTTAACCAGATGTTGTAGGTATTGATAGCTGCAGGCAGGAAGAATCTTCTGTCATGGTCTGTCTTGCACCGAGCTCTGGAGAAGCCTCTGACTGAGGACACTCAGTCGGTATTTAACAATCTGAGTAACAGGATTCTCTCCATAATATTCTTCACTTTATGGAGAATTCCTCTTTTTGAAATCATCTCATAAAAATGTCAATATTGGCAAGATGTAAAGTTATAAAAAGCACTCTGAATGCCATTAAAACTACAATAGAACGCTATAAAATAATTTTAAACATGAATACTTTCCCTAAACCTAAACTAAATAAATATTTTTTTATACATATATAAATTCATATTTAACCAAAAGTCAGGTAGCAGAGAGATATACATGGATGAGGTCACTAAGTGACTGAGGCTGACTGTGAAATCCATTATATTAAGTTTATTTATATCTCACCAATTCACAACACATATCATCTCAAGGCATTTTACTGAGACAATTATTTGTTTATTTTTCATGCGAAAGTTTCAGAAAGCATAATGTTGCAAATTATATTTACATCCCCATCCGCAACTTTTTAGTCAACCTTGGTATTTTAAAGAGGACTTCCATACGCTGTCCAACTTACAAGAGAAGACCCTTATTTGTAGCTTTTCGGTACTACATCTTCATCATGCAAACTGCCAGTACAAACGGTCAGTTAACTGAGTTCAAGATGAAGTCCACTATATAGTCCCTGCTCTACAGTATACATAGTGATTGAGGGGTTCAGGCAGACATTCGCTCACAGCCTGTGACTCATAATTTGCCAACCCACTAGAAGTGTTTGACCCAGTGATTGGTAAAAATTGACATTGACACACGTCCAAATGACATCTAAATTTGGTTAAAAAGTGAAAGGTGAAAAGCTATAATCCTTCTACAGCTGGGCTGAAGTGGGACAGAATCAGACCCACCAAACACAGCTCAATTTTCAACTATTTCTGGATTAAATCAAAACTACCACGGACCGACCAGATCTAGCCTAAACCAACATCTAAATGACGTGTGGTGTATAGGGGGACCGGATCACCTACTCTTATTTGTTGAATGTTACTGTGTTCATGTTTTTGTGTGTCTGGTGTGTATAAGAAACTTTCCGCCCAGCTCTATCCCCCTGAGTCAAATTTTGGCTGACTTCCCAACGAGTGACAGGCGTCACACAGGCCTTGTGCTCTAACCCAGTCCAGATGTAGATGTGACAATGGAGAGCCACAACGGGAATGTGAACCCGCCCTCCCTCTACCGTTCTTATTTACTTTCCTCTTATGACTTTACTCATGTGTTGAAAGTGTTTTCGAGTCAGTGGTTTAGATTTGTGGACATCCTGGCAGGCCCAGCTGTTATTTGACAAAGACATTATTATGAGGAAATGAACAAAGGAGGAGGCCCACTGTTTGGAAAGGACTCACTGCAAAATTGAAGGAATTGGGCACAAAAGCACATTGTGAAATGGAATACCTGCTTTTTATGCAACAACTAACTGTTTCACCTCACTCCCCCTAAAACGAAAAAGTTCTCAGTTTAATTTCCTAGGATGATAAATGCTGAAAGCTTCTTAGTTCTCAAGTTGATCTTAATAAATTCAAGGATTAATGAAACATTTTGTAAAAGCAGCGATAAGGAACTGGGTGGGATCATATTGCACAATTATAAATCTGTTTGCATGAAAGATTAACATGATTAGAAAGATTACATGTTATTTAAAACTTGAGAGCTAAGTCATTTCAGTCTCACTAACTTAGGTTAAAGGGATAAAACTATGAATCTGTTAGGGTAGTAACAATGAAAATGTATTTATTTTTACAAACCACTTAAATAATTCACAAATAAAAAGTTGATACAACACATTTTTTAGTGAAATGTCAGTCCAGGTTTGAATAACCTACATATGGTGGCACATTTCCATATCTAACTCTAAAGACAGTTGTTACAGTCCCAGCCTTTGGCCGTTGGTGGAATAGGAGACACTAGAGAGAGGAAGAGAGGTGAAGAAGAGGAGGAAGTCAACTAAAGGGGGGTTTGTAAGCAAGTCTGTGTTGTTTTTAATCTTTCCAAGAGGGAAATAAAGTCCTAAAATGTTTCCATCTGGGGGCTCGTCCAGGATCGCTCTGTAAAAAGAAGGAATAAAATAAAGAGCATAGCAAGAAATTGATAAAGGAAGCCGAAAGAACTTTCAGAAGGGCCTCTAAGATGGCATCGGCTCTGGCTAATGTAGCTGCTGGAGTTTAAGGCCCCGTCCACACGAAGTCAAAACGAACACGAAATGCTAATATTTTCCAGAACGTTTGTCGTAAAGACGGAGAGATAAAATAAATGTGATCGTCCACACGAATGTATGAAAACGCTGCAAAATGTATGCCAGGCCTGTAAGTGGCGCTGTGGTGCCAAAGCAAAAATAGGCGACGAAATTTTGGGCATGTGCACTAATATTTATACATGGTTGCCCTGCGGGTCCATTTTCGTGGTTCAGTCAAATTCAGGTGATGAACTATGTCGTCGATATTGCTCTGTTCTTCCTGGAGATATTCCAGAAGAAGAAGATTCTGTTGTAAGCCCGACAGCAGGGTGAGTAGCATGAGCAGC